GGCGGGTTCCCCTCTTCTCACGCCAACCAACTGCAGGGGGACACCTAATCCCTACCCCTAGTCCCAAAGATCTGCCGCGGCCACCACCTACTTTGGCAGCCAGGCCCCCAAACCCAGCCTGCGGCCTCGGGAGCTGCTAAGGACCAACAGGAGACCCGAAACTCAGCAGAGTGCAGGGCGTGCCTAGAAAAGCAGTCGAATGATCGCCCGAGGAAAATCCAGAAGTCCCAAACTTTTAGGACACCTAATCCCTACCCCTAGTCCCAAAGATCTGCCGCGGCCACCACCTACTTTGGCAGCCAGGCCCCCAAACCCAGCCTGCGGCCTCGGGAGCTGCTAAGGACCAACAGGAGACCCGAAACTCAGCAGAGTGCAGGGCGTGCCTAGAAAAGCAGTCGAATGATCGCCCGAGGAAAATCCAGAAGTCCCAAACTTTTAGCTTCTGTATTCTGACCCAGGCCTTCCTTATTGGGCAGAATGATGCGGCTGCCTCAGGCAGCAGATATTGGGGTGCTGTGAAAAGGCAGCAGCTTGTTTGTGCTTTGATTCGCTATTGCCCTGTTTTTAATGCCACAGAAAAAAAAAACGTGTGGGATTTTATGCCTCCTTGTGCCAAAATACATTGGCTGGCTTTAAGTGCTTAGGTCTAAGATTCAGGGAGGTGAAATTGGTTGTGTTGTATTTGGGCCAGCCATATTTGGACCACTGTACAGTACTTTGATTTCCCAGGGCTTTCTCAGGATATGTTTTCTGCAGGAAAAAGCCAATTGGAGTGAAAAAGCTAAAACGGGACTGATACTAGAATGAGTCTTCCTGGCTCAGACTAAAGGCCATTTAATTCTCTTCACCTTGTGGCTCATCCATTTCCTAGGGAGAGCCTCCTAGCAGGGAATGAGATTAGTAATCCCTCTGTCTCATGTTCCTACTCTCTCTTGCTCCTTGAGTTGATATACAACCATCCTGTCTAGTAACCTTTGATGAATATATCCAGACCTTCTTCAAACTCATCTTTCTAGCGCTCATCCTTACATCTTGTGGCAGTGAATTCCGCAATCTAATTATGAACTGTCTAGATACTGTATGTTATTCTTTGCTTCTGCCCTAAATCAGCCACAGTTCATTTCCAATGGCTGGTTCCTAGCTTCAAGTACTATTATGAGAGGGAGTTGAGCCTTTCCTTATCCGCTTTCTCTTCACCATACAGAATTTGTCTATAACTCTATCATGAGAGACTCTTCCCATCCTGCTTATAACTTTTTTGAACTGTTACCATCTGGCAGAAGATATAGAACAATTAAGACTCGGACCACACGTTTTCTCAATAGTTTTTATCCCAGAGCTATAATTGCAATTAATAATGAGCTTAAAGACCACCAGTAGTGAATACTGTAATTAGTTGGACTGTGTTACTTGGCCTGCGGTGTAGATGTTTGTATTTTTAGTGGGGGATTTTTTAGTGGGTGGGGAGTGTTTGGGGAATTTTATGTGTGTGCATGTGTCTGGTCTCTGGGTGTCTGTGAATTTCGTTGTATGGGTATACTGTGTATATACTTACAGTGACAATAAATTATTATTATTATTATTATTATCATCATCATCATCATCATCATCATCATCATCATCATCCATCCCTTTACTCTCCTATTTTCACTTGTTGGTTGGGTTGAAATGAGCTAGATCCCAACAAAGGATTACATCACCCAGCACTCTGTTCAATAGGCATGAACCAGATATGTTGGTGAGAAAACCGTTTCAAGAACACAATAGCACCTTCCTTGGTCATGATCTCCAGGATCTGAACAAGTCATATTGTTTCCACTTAAGATGCAGCTTTTAGGACTTGTGGCTATTGATGGACTCATCATCGGTTTGTTCAGTCCCATTTTAAAGCCATCTGAGTTGGAAGACTACATCCTGAGTTAGTGAATGCCACCGGGTTTTACAGCTGGAAAATCTTTCATAGTGTTTATGACTATGGCCCAGAAAAGGCTGAGGATGGCTGCTTTACAAGATCAGAACCCAGGGACTTCTTTAACATGGACCAGGCATCATTTGCCAACATTGCTCACTTTCCCCTCTCATGGTCTCCTCAGTCCCTCTGGGGATGGTTGGAATCCTCACAGTGGGGGTGCTGGATTTTCCTTGCAACAATATACAGTATTGTTTTGAGCTATGCTTGTTATAAGGCAAAAGATTGTGGGGAACCTTGGTCTCCAAAGAGCAGCTAAGACATCTTGATTTACAGAGAATCTGGAGATGAATTAAATGGAATTAGATCAACACAGCTGCCAGCATTTGGGGACTCCTTTTGGGAAAATGGCTTGAAAACTGTCATTCAGAGTGCCCGTTCCTCAGAATTTAATACTATGTCCCTGGCTCTTACTTTCTTCGTACCACCACCATTTATTCCCCCCCCCCACAAGCTGAACAGTGCTAATCATAGTAACATTTCATCAAAGAGAACTACAGGACTACCTTGTTTGTTCTAGTTACCCTTTCCAGCTTTATCATACTCTTTCAGTGTTGCAGTGATCAGAATTATGTCAAGTATTCCAAGATTTGTGCCAAGATATTGGCCATTTTATTTTATTTTCTGTTTCCAGTTACAGTCTGTGTAGAATTTCCCCTTTTCACTGCAACCACATGTTGGGCCAACATTTGAAATCTCAGTTTGTGACTTTTCATTCACTTTTGGCTATCAGTGGTTCAGCATCTTCTGAACCACTGCATCAGCATCTCCTCTCTGAGAGGAGAGGTCTAAAGAGGTAAAATAAGCCAGCTGGGGGTCAGGGTGGGCAGGAGAATCAGAGAGCGCTATTCCCCTTCCCACTTTGCCTTTCCCCACCCCAGGGTCCTCAGCCTGAGGAGAATGTCTTCATCTGTCCTATTAGAGTTACTCCTGTGAAAGTTTGATTCAGACAGTGTTTGAGAGCCAGAATGAGATCAGCATGAGAGGTCCCTGACAACATTTGCTCCGTTGTGTGAAAAATTAGTGATACTGAGAGTGGTTTATAATTCTCATTTCCTCATTCAACTCAGGGCTAAATGAGTAGCCCTACCATTGGGCAGAATGAGGTGGCGGCCTTAAACAACAGATTTGGGTGCCCATGAAAGGGACTCAAATTATTGGTCATTTAATTTATTGCTGCAATTATTTTAGTGCCAGGGAGAGGGGCAGGTTGTTATGAGATTATTTGTGTGAGGAGGGGCCTCCAGTCCCAGGAACTCCAATGTGTGGAAGGAAGTACTTAATTTAGGACACCCAAATTGCTAAGTTATTTCTTCCCTCTTTGTTCAGTTTTGCCTGCATATTCTCCCCTGGCAGGGAGGGGGAACCTCCAGCCTTTGGCCTAAGTACAAACCTTTAGGCCTTTCAATATGGACTTCCAGATATAGTACTTTGTAGGTCACGACCCCTGTCTCACCTCATTCATAATGATGGAGACAATTTCTTCTGACTTGCTCTGTGTTCCAGCTACAAAACTGGTGGAAGAAAGTTTGTACAAATGAGGGAAGATGAATCTCTAGAGGCAGATGCTTTTGCCACTCAATTATTTGCTGGAGAAATTTAAGAGGCACATTTATAATTTCACCTCATTTTGGCTCTGGTCACAAGCACTGCTAGAATATGGACCCCAATATGATTTGGGCCTCAAATCCCATTTCTCCCTCCCCCCTCGTAAACATATGCCATTTCCTTCCCCCCATTGTATTTGCTCCTACAAGAATATTTTGATAAGCAGTGCCAATTTAAACATAAAGCCCAGCATTTCCATTTCAAGCAGCAGATTTTGGGGGTATCATAATGATAGTAAACTGTTACCGGTAATTAGATGAATGACAGCAATATGTTTTTACTGCAAGAGAGAAGAACATATAGGCTGTTTTTGTTTTGTTCTAGATGCCAAAAAACTTTGATTTTGGAAAGGAGGCACCATTTGCTGCTGTGCCCCAGGCAGCATCTTGTGTTAGCCCTGCAGCCGTTCTGGTTTTGCAGCTTGTTTGGACTAGCCGTGCTTTTTTTTTTTTTTAAAAAAGAAAGTCTTCTTTTCCAAGCTGTGATTTATAGGCAGTTCAGGATATATTTTTTTATTGAGCTGGGGTAGAGGAAGGAGGCTAAAACCAAATTTAGTTTTTGTTTCAGATTCAAATCTTCTCCTTTAGAAATAGTACCGTTGTTACCTTAATTACCTTCGGGCTGAATTACTGTAATACTGTCTATGTGGGGCTGCCTATGGAAAGTGTCTAGAAATGTCAGCAGGTCTAAAACACAGCAGCCAGATTACTGATTGGGGATGGTTACAGGGAGCACATAACCTCCCTGTTACAGCAGCAACCCTGGCTGCCGATCCGTTTCTGGGTTGAATTCAAGGTATTGGTTCTAACCTATAAAGCCGTAAATGGCTTGGGCCCAAGCTACATCAAGGGCCACATCTTCCTTTGTGAGCATGCTCGAATGTTAAAATCATCAGAAGAGGCCTTTCTTTCAGTTGGTCCACCTTCTCAAGTATGTTTGGTGACGACATGGAAAGGGCCTTCTCTGTCACTGCTCCTAGACTTTGGAACTCCCTCCCACAGGAAGCCAGGCTGGCCTCATCTTTGCTGTCCTTCCACAAGCAGGCAAAGATGTTTCTCTTCAGCAACCTTTCTCTGAGTGACTGGCTGCCTGAGAGGATTATTTTAAATGGATTGTCGTACCTTACTGCTTTGAATGTGTTTCATGTTACTTCTGCTTTTTGTATAGTATCTGATCCTTTCTAGTCTTTGTATACTCATTGTTGTTAGCTTTAATATTGTCTTTTAACAATGTAAGCCACCTTGAGTCCTTTTCAG